AGGCTGGTTTACCTGGGGAGAATCCTGGCTTCGTTCCCCTCTGGTTGTGTGAACTGGGGTGTCTGCCCCGGTTTCCTTACCTGGAAAAAGCGGATAGCCATAGTGTGTATGTTGGGGGGCAGTTGTGAACGTTAAGGAGTTAATGCAGTAAAGCGTCTAGCATAGCGCCTGGCCCGTATAAACGTTCGTCTTTGTCATATGATCTCCACGGAGGGCAGATGGGTGCACTGAGGCCCGGAGACAACTTGTAACAACCGGCAGCAGTAGGGGGGGAAGGGGAGGATTGGGTGCTTCATCCTGCCTCCCCCCTGGGGAGAGCCGGGGCCGCCTGGGCTCTGGCAGAACCTACCCCTTCCTCCTCCTGCCTGACTTGTGCTGTGGTGTGGAGGTCAGTGGCGTGGGCACCGGGCTCTTGAGCGGCTGCAGGCTCGGGCTCAGACAGTCTGCGCGTGCTTGGCAGTTGCAGGCAGGCAGAGATAAAAGCGTAGCCCCAGAGAAGCCGGCGGGGCCTCTGGGCATCGGAGGACAGGGCTCTGCATTACAGGGAGGCGGCCCGGGGCGGGGGCCTCGCTGTCTGGAAGCCAGCCCAGCTCCAGCTCCCTGAAAGAGGCTGGCGGTTCGCAGCTAATGACTCCAGGCTGGCTCCCCAGGCTCAGGGCCACTTAAACTAACTCTGGAGATGAGCACGACAGTGACAGCAATGAGAGACGAGAGAGACCTCTCAGGTCTCTGCCCTGTCCTCAGGCCTCTGCCTTCCCCCTCCCAGAAGCCCTGGCCTTGGCTTTCAAGGCCCAGGGGGGAGAGCAGAGGGCTACAGGGGCCCAAGGGTGCAACCTCCCTGGACCTCAGTGTCCTCGCTATACGTGGAGAGGAGAGTGCCACCCCCTGGCCGGGTGGTTGCTGGAATTTGGGGCAGCCGATGGGGGCAAAGTGTGTCCTAAGCACGTTGTGTAGCTTTGAGAGGCCTTCCCTAAACCTGGGCTGAAGGTTTTGTCTTCAGGGTCACATGGTGGCCAAGTTAGAACTAGGTTCCAATCCTTGAAAAGTGACCTTGAGCGGGAAGCTCTGTCTCTCAAAGCCTCATTACTCAGGCTATAAAATGGGGATGAAGGTACCTGGTATCTCTAGGGGACCCTGTGGGGATTAGCTGAGACGGCTAAACACGTAGGGCCCCACGGGCAGTAGACCCCCACGTCCAGTTGTCCCAGACCTTTGCTCCTCCGTCATCCAGTTCAGCTGTTCCCCAAGAGAAGCAGCATGGTGGCCCTGGGGCTGTCTGGCTTTGTCCCAGCTCCATCAACTCTGTGAACTTGGGCAGGTGTATTAGTCTCTCTGTGCCTTGTTTGCCCCATCTTAAAAATGAGGATGGCAGGGGCTCCTGGGTGGCTCAGTCGGTTAAGCGTCCGACTTCGGCTCAGGTCATGATCTCACAGTCCGTGAGTTCGAGCCCCGCGTCGGGCTCTGTGCTGACGGCTCAGAGCCTGGAGCCTGTTTCGGATTCTGTGTCTCCCTCTCTGACCTGTCTGACCCTCCCCCGTTCATGCTCTGTCTCTCTCTGTCCCAAAAATAAATAAACGTTAAAAAAAAAAAATGAGGATGGTAATGGCACCTTGAGAAGGTTAAGTGAGCCACTAAATTTTAGGTGCTGAGTGTAGTGCCTGGCACGCCATAAGCGATCTTGTCGTTGCCACTGTTCCGGGCCACCACCAAGACCTTAGGAAGCAACAGTGAGTTCATCCTGGAGCATTAGCCCTGTGCCTCCATGACATCATTGGGAAAGTCGCCAGGCACCGGAGAGCCCGTGGGGCCTTGGACGCCCCCATCTAGGGGGGTCTTGATCTGCTGGCATGCATTCTTCAAGAATGGGGCTCCCTCCTGCTCTTCTCTGTGGCCCAGGGACTGACCCGCTTGGCCACTGTGCTGGGCGGGTTTCCTAGGGCGGCACTCTGTGGTTACTTCTCCGCTGGTCTGAGTTCCCTT